TTACCTAGATACAGTGCCACACCATAAAAAAATATAAAAACTACTCAAATAAAGGTTAACACCCAAGCTATGGGGAATTCCAAAGGACAATTGTGAAATATTTGGCCACAAAGTTTAAGATCAATCAGCAAGGAGAAAAATGTGTTTCATAAGCATAAGTCAGTCACTTCAGACTAAACTAAGATTTTGAAGAAACTCAAGTTCCTCCTTTCCCCCTCCCCCTCTTTTTAGTGTAAACTGCATGAAAAGAGAGACAGAAGTTGGTTATTGATGCTAACAACAGTTCAGTTTTGGAAGTTTAGTAATTCTTATTATTATTTGGTGTTTGCTCCTGATGAAAACAGCTTCAAGAACAGGGACAGTTCTAAGTTGAATACTCTATGGAAGAAATGTCTGCTAAGTGAATGGGACTTTGGGGAAGCGAAACAAACCCAATGAGGATAAAATAGATAGTGGCAAGGGGACAGGAAATGGCATACAATAAAGTCAAAACTATGTGGGAGAGTGTAGAAGGGCCAAAACTTAAAACTGCATGGATAGACTTATGCTGATGACAATCCAGCATTTCACAGAACATGGCTTGTTGCAGACAGGTTCATACTTACAAGCCTCCATGCTCACCAGAACAGACTGGTTTGATTTTCAGGATGTTTATTAGGTGGAGTTTGTGGGGTTTTTCCATGCCTTCGTTCTCCACATATTTTTCTTTACATTTGAAATTGCAATTTATAATTTCTCTGACTATAGTGGAGCTGAGAAATTTATTTCAGGTGATAAGAACCTGAAGAATAAACAGGGAAAGAATTTGTAATCATACTTTCAAATTTCCTGTGTTTAGTGTCTGAGTCATATAGACATAAACAGGGAATTTTTACAGCATTGTTACCATTTCAATCAAGGCGTAGAAAAGGGCCTATTAATTCCCAAGTATATTAATTCGGGACTATATTTCTCACCTTTGTGCCTGAATCCTAGAAGGACTGCAATGCAGAATAATTCTTCTTCTCTTTACTGATAATTGGATTTTGCTTTTCTAAAAATATCGAGGTTTTCATTGGGTGCTACCATAACCAATGCAAAAATCTTACTACCAATGCACTACTTACTGTGCATTGAAAGGCCATTCAAGAAGTTTCTGGTAGGAGCAAAACCTTCACTCTACACTAGCAAACACTCTACACTAGCTATTCTACTCTGGATATTTCACATTGTGGCTGTCACAACAAAGGAAAGTTACCTTCCACTCATTTATATTATTGACCCTATAGCAAAGATAATGTGCTTAACTAATTATGAAAGAAGAGAATGATTTCACACAAGCTGGACCGTGTTGATTTCTTCAAGTACCCAGCCATGTTCCTGCTATGTGACACCAGATCATGAGATGCTTAATATGTATTTGTTTTGGTTGCAAGTGGGTTTCTTAATCCACGTACAATCACCCAAACCAATAATTATTTGCAGGTGCACAGGGTCTTTGGAGATCTTCCTTGCAGTCTAAATCCACAAACTTCAGATGTTTTAATATCTAGGCAGACACTCAGCATTTTATTTTGAAATAAGGCTGATTCTTCTTTATATTAGAAACTTACTGTTACCCATCTAAGAGCACACGAGTTTCAATTCTCTACAGAGTGAAACTGCAGGATTAGCTAAACATTAATAGAAACACAGAGCGTGATTTTGCTGCTTTTTTCCCCTTATTTTTACCAATGAAATGTGGAAAGCAAAATACAGCAATATTTCCCTTCAAAAGTGGTGGAAGTAAATGCACTACAGTTCAGAACTCCAGAATATAGTTTGGTTTTTGGAGGCACAGGAAGTTACTGGTTTACTGATTTTAAAAGTTCAGTTTCCCTCAGAAGTTGCACATAATCTCTTGTCTCCTCTAAAACACAAAGTAACCAAAAAACAAAAAAGTACTTCCTACTCCATCACATGTTAGGGGAGGATCCACTGGTAAGAGCAAATGCACATTGCTGCAGCTGTGAGTGAAGAATGTAATTTAAAATAAAGCAGGAACTTGTAATTGCTTTAGTCCTTCACCTATGACTTTTGTCATCAGTTAGTTTGTAATCAGATTCCTTTTTTCCCCCTTTGTCTTCTAAAAGAAAACATACAGCAAGTTGCTTTAACTTATTTATCAAAATTAGGATTCCACTGTGTTCATCTTAAATCTGGGTAGTTCATTTGCAGGTCTTGCAGCAATGCCTTCTTTCTAAAGTGCTGATCCTCGTTTCAAGAATGAGGATACAACCCCACCTATTAATAGTTAATACAACATTCAGTGTAACATTGCCTAATTTACCCATGAAATTATTCAAGAAAAGCAGTTATCCTGCTCAGTTTTTGAAATACATTATTTGACTCTTCTAACTGATGTAGACAGATGTGCAGAACAAACCAAAAAGAGAAATGGATAGCAAAATTGGGGAAATGATAACAAAATCACTTGCAGATGCCTTAAAGGTTCTGTATGTATGATCTGTGCGTATTTGATGTAAGCTCCTTGCTGACAGCCCTTGCAAAAATGTATTTGCAGGCACTAAAATTAACCAAAACAATAAACAGGAGACTGGCATTGGAGGAGACAGGTGTACAACAAGAGCAGAGAAAGCACTCAGAGCTTGGTGACCATGGAGAAAATGACAAGGTCTAAAGTCCAAATAGAAATTAACCTGGCTACTACAGAAAAAGAGAATAAAGTATTCCTATAAAAGTATTAACAACCAAAGAAGGGCTAAGGAAAATCTTTATCTCAGTTCAGTTTTGCACCCTTCAGGACAAGAAAGACATTGAGGTTTCACTCCTCACAGTCCAATGCACCAGGCTCTGAGTGTTTGACATTTAAAACCCCTGGAGCCTATGGCAAGAGCTTCCAGCAAAGCTGCAAACATCAAATACTCTTACCAAGAAAGCCAAAAATGTGTGCTTGCACTAGGGCACTGGAATGATTAAAAGACTAAATGAGCTAAATCCTCCAATTTCTGCTATGTAACGGAGTATCATTTCAGTTATCTCAAAAGAATGCTGCAGAGAGAGGAATGTTTCCCACCAGGCTGAACTGACAGATCTTCAGACCAGAATCCAGGCATGGACCAGGGAGCACAGAGAATTAAACACCAAACCCCTCACCATTTTCTGTTTTCATGGCTTTAAATTCTGTCAAAACAGAGGCAGTTTTGACAGAGCTGTTGGAAGTCACCTGTAACTCTTCAGAAGCATTTTGGGTACACAAGCTGCAGCACATACAGTAAGATTAGCTCTACAATTTTCCTTCTGCTCTTTCCCCAGTCTCATCCTGTTAAATGCAGTTGAGTGGGTTTGCTTCCAACAATCTGATGCATAAAGCAAGTGAATTGATACAGTGCATTAATGGTATTGTGTGCCTATTTTGGAGTAATCTGGTGTAAAGTTGGTATAATTATGTGGCCCCAGGCTTGGGGTCTAACAACCTTGTTACAAAATAATGTGATTATGAGATATTGCATTTAAGAAATTTCCTTACCAAATACTGTAAATTCATTTCCACTGTTCTAACATAATTCTGAAAATACAACTCTAATGAGGAACTTCTCTGAGAAAAAGCAGCTGAACTGAATTCTCACCACAAGAGTTTATATAATCTATTTCTGTATTCATCACTGAAAGCAGTACACGTGAAATTCTGTTTTACTTATTTTCATGTAGAAGAAAATTTCACAGAAATTACTGGGGGAAAAAAAATAAAGACCAATTGGATTTATTCTCAGAGAAAAAAACAAACCTTTCTGAAGATTGTCTTAACTGGAAAAATTCACTTTATAATCCATCATTGTATTATTATGATATATCTCCAAATAAGCAAGATTGGATGAAATAAGGGACTTTTGTATACAGCACTATAGCAAGGAAGCACTTCTCAAGTATGGCAATGCTTTTGCAATTAAAAACTGCAATTTCAGGTAGGAAACTTGAGTTCCTGTGATCCAGGTAAAGGGATATTATTTTAATACACATTACTCTTCTAACAGAAAGACAGAAAACAGTTCCTAATAGGATTCAAAGACCTAATTACAAAATTACAATTATGAGTCCCGACCCCCAGCCCTAATCCATTACTGACTGCATTACCCATATTTAACCATAAACTCTCCCATAATACAACAGGAAAATTTTTTTTCATAATGACTTTAATTCTCTAATGTTAAAGCATTCATTATTTGTTACTGTAGCCCAGCTCACTCACTGCACAGTCAAATATTGTGGTATTTTGTAACAGGAATTTGGAGAAGATCCACTGACTGTGCAGGCTGAAAACCCCTTTATTTTCAGATGCTTTTCAATGATGGTACAGACCAGTCTGTGTAAGTGCGTTTAATTTTCTGTTTGGACTTGGCACAATAAATCTTTATAATATTGACAGGAAAGCTTTTATAAAATTATTCCTACCATCACAATCAGGGAATGTCTAAAATGACAGAGAAAAAAAATGAAATTTACACCAAACTGTTCATGATCAAACTTGGTCATTGTTTAGACAAGTGATACTAATAATACTGGAACATCAATCTTACAAGACAGCAACTTTACAGAATAGATGTTAACCAAACGATTTAATGTGATGAGAGCTTTACAAAAGAAAACAGCAGCCCCAAATATCTTGTGGGGGAAAAGGTGAATATTAAATGTATCAAACAGGTCATCCTATGTATGTGTTAACAGTTCCTCAAAATTAACATGACCTTTACATATTAGGGCTTACAAAATACTGTTCATGGTACTTAAACATAAACAAAAAACCCCAACAGATTAATAGATACAAGAAACTCAGGTCTGTAGCATTTAGCTTAACACAGAGAACGATCTTACACATGTACATCCTGTTAAGTTCTGTGAACAGTTTGTAGTTCTGTATAGAAAAGTGGATCTGACACAGCAGTTAGCCAAATGCGAGAACAGACACATAGAAGAACTTGCACAACACACAAGACTTCCAGACTCTGAAGAGAATTCTTAAGTTTTCTGCAAGATGGAGGTTTATTGCCCATTTACAAAGAACAAATGTTAATTACAAGACAAATATGATAATTAAACATACAAGCTCTCGAATTGTACAAAGATAATAATTTCTCATGGTTGATGTGCATAGTTAAAAACAGTGCTAGCTTAAGAGACCTTTGCAAAGATGCAGTGTAATCCCCTGCAGTTACAAGGGGACGTGACTGAACAGGTAAGACACTGATTCACCATTGTGTGTTCTTCGAATTGCCTCTGCCAGGATCATGGAAATGTCAATAAACTGAAAGAAAAATTGAGGAGAAAAATTTGATGGCATGCCAAGAGCAATAAACAATGCAGTTTAGAGCCATATAAACAAACAGTCCATCTACCTTTTTAGCTTTTACTTCTAGAAAGTAATAAAACAAAGTTTAGGCATTGAATATATACGTAAGAACTGCAATAATACCGAATAAGAACTCAAAAATTTAGTAAGAATGCGTTGACTAGGATCACTGAATGCTCATATTGTTGAGTACTTCTGACAAAGGGCATGCTGTCAAAAAGCCCCACTATTCTTGCCATCAGATGGCAGTGTCTGCTTGACATAAATACCATTTCAAGGAAGTACACCTTTTTAAGTGCTTGCCCTGTTTCAATAAATACCAAATGTTAAGCTTTTAAAAAATCCAGTAATTCATTTAAAACCTCAATCCTTTATGCTTTGCTCCACTCTATACTAAGCAAAACCTCCAAAAGGGACACGGGACTTTTCAGAACAATTCCATTTGTGTTTTTCAAGGAAAAATAATGTCACCTAAGATTTCTGTGGCCTCCTCAACAGAATAACTAAGGTCCTACATCCAAATATTTTATGAATAATATTAATTAAAAAAAAAAGAAGAAAAACCCAGTCAATTTTACATTTGTCACTCTTTCAACAATCAAGCGTACTCAAGGTGTGGCAAATAAATATTTTGAAGTGCCCTATTATATTACCTGAATCCCCTTAAAACAGTTCTTTAGCATGTTTCAGCAAAATGTTTTGCAAACAATGTATTTAAGAATATTAATTTCATCTCAAGCCACAAATTCTAGCACCACCAGTGAGCAGTAAAACACAAATACTGAGTCTAAAGAAATGACATAACACCACTGTACCTGTATTTTTGGGCAATGTTTCATTTTCTCCTCTTGGGGGATTGTGTTGGTTACCACAACAGCCTCAAACGAAGCATTATTAATCCGAGAGAGGGCAGGACCAGAAAAGATGCCATGGGTCAGAATGGCATAAACTTTAGTAGCTCCAGCAGACATTAACCTGTAGAACACACAAAAATAGCATGCTGTGATGCATGTGTACATATATGGTTATAGATGACGCCAGATACAAATCTCTAAAGTGCATTTTACTTATGAAATCCTATGTATAAAATAACTACAAAATAATTCTGATATTTGTATAACCTGAAGAAGTTTGAATTGTCTCAGAAAAATCCCCAACAAAAATTGTAATTAAATTAAAATGTTCTTATTTGCAGCAGTGTTACTAATCTACAATGCTGTGCTTTTGACCACACTAGCACAACATAAAAATGAACTCCAGTACAAGCTTTCTATCTTAACCAGGCAAAAAATTAAATAGGTTGGATGGCAATATTCACAACTCCATTGTGCCTCCATTATTGTCCCCCTTTATTTTCATTTGCAATTCAAACAGTTCTGCTTGGAAGGAGTTTCTGAGGAAGAAGAAATGTTAATGATTAAAACCATAGCTTACTGCAAGGTTGTGGGAAGACATGCTGCTGATCCAAGCACTCAGTGAAGTGATGCATGAGGAGGAAAAAAGTATAAATCAAAGAACTAGAACACCTTGTGAATGACTCAAAATATCCTAATTTAGTTTCTAATGGCCTCAATGCCTCCAGATGCTCAGCTATGTCCTACCTGCTTCTCTAGCCTTAGAAACAGAGGCCCTGAGGAATTTTATCAGATCATCACAAAGTCATTTGTTGTATCTGAAAATATGTTCCTTAGTTCATCTCCTTGATATGCATCTAGGTTGCTGAGGCAAAAAGAGTTCTAGGGAGTATTTTGGTGCATGAGTCTTATTATACACAAAGTACATCCCACCTGGATTTGACATTAATGAAAAACACTAATTCATGCTAAGAACATGACACAAGGCAATACCACTGAAGCTAAAGCATCTTTCTTAGTGAACACTGCAGATACATTGAAGGTGATTGACAGTTTTAGAATTTGGTCTATTTTGTCTCTAGAAATGTACTGTAGGTAAAGAGTGCTTCTCTCAAACAGGAAAGAAAGGTTTTTCACAGTAATTAACTTCTATGCACAAGAGTATTAAAAAGATGTTGGCTAGGCAATTTGTGATCTGCAAAGGGCACAGCCTAAAAGAATACTTTGAGGTATGACGTAGATTAGGATGGAGATAGCAAACAACTACACAATATCTCTGCAAAATTTCATCAAATTTTCACGAAAAATGTAAGAAACACAAGATTACGTGTGAGTTTTTGACATCCTTTATACAGGTGCAAACAGCAAGTCTGCAACTAAAGACTGTAAACTTGTGAGATTAACTCTACTTCAAACCACCAAGAACAATGTCTAACTCACTTGTTGCTTTCATACCATTTCCCACAGCATTCCCCTGTGGAAATTTGCATTGTGTAGCTTGGACAGGTATACTTTTCAATGGGAAAAAAATTGGTTGGATGGCTGGGCCCAGAAAGTGGTAGTGAATGGAGTTCTATACAGGTGGGAGCCAGTCACTTGTGGGGTACCCCTAGGGCCAAACCCATTTGACATCTTCATCAGGGATCTGGACAGAGTGGGGGCACCCTCAGTTAGGTTTGCAGGTAACACCAAGTTGGGTGGGGGTGCTGATCTGCCTGAGGGCAGGAAGGCTCTGCAGAGGGATCTGGACAGGCTGGATCAATGGGCTGAGGCCATTTGCAAGAGGTGCAATAAGGCCAAGTCCTAGGTCCTGACTTTGGTCACAACAATCCCATGACGTGCCACAGGCTCAGGGAAGAGAGGCTGAAAAGCTGTCTGGTGGAAAAGGACCTGGGGTGCTGGTTGAGAACCAGATTAACACAAGCCAGCCTTACTACTAACCTGAAAAAAACCCCTATAAAGGCACCTGGAAAACCATAAATAATCCTTTCTGCTCAGGTAGAGCCTTAGTTTACTGCTAGAGCCTTAGTTAGGATAGTGGGTCTACATTCACAAGCTCCTCTTCAAGTAGACCAGCTGGAAGGAATCCAGAAGGCATCACAATTGAGCAGAAGTCTAAAACCTTGCGGAAAGACTGAACAAACTCAAGTTACTCTACTCAAGAGGGAAATGAGAACTCTTCAACCTACTTTCAGACAGAAGACAGGAAAAGTTATGCTCATCTCCGCAGATGAAAAGGACAAGTAGTTTTATGCTTAAGATGTACAGTGAAAAGTAATATTACATTTGCACTGGACATTACAGTGAAAACACTTTAGTGTTAAATCCAGTAAAGCTTTGTTAAAGATTGCCTGAGAAGAGTGGAAAGGCTCCATGATGAGGTTCAAAGAGGGAATCATTTTTGAGCTGTTGTTCCTGCCTTAGAACCGTAAAGTGCACTAGATGGCCCAAGCCCTTTTCAAGTTACAACATTTTATTTATTCTGTGCTCTTCCTAGGTACAGATAATATATTTCTGTAAATATTTTCTCAATTTCATGTTCAAAAGGAGGACACAGCTGAATCACAGAACTGTGACCTATCAATTCAAGAGTCAGAATGACTTCATACTAGAGAGGTCAGGATGGGTTATAGGCTTTGAGGACAACTGTATTCATCAGCCATGCAGTGAGTGAGACAGACCATAATAACACTTACTTGTCTGCTGCATGACATATTGTGCCACATGTGTCAGCCATATCATCAACAAGAATTGCCACTCTGTCTTTCACATCACCAACCAAGACCATTCTGTCCACTTCATTTGCCCTCTTTCTTTCCTTATGAATGAGTGCAAATTCCACATTCAGTCTGTCAGCAATTGAAGTAACCCTAGGTTGCAGGAAGAAATGCACCACGTTTAGAGAACCATTTTAAAGAAAAAACAGTCATACAAATGTTTTTGTCACAAAACACAGTTTTTTGTCTTCTGGCTTTCAAATTACCACAGCAAAAAATTTACAAGGAATGAGACAGGTAGAAGCAATCCTAATTCAGTGCTAATTATGAACCAGAGTGTCTTAAGCTATACCCCAAAAATCAGTTTTTTAATCGAGTTGACTTTGGTTTTCTGTCATTAAGTGCCTGGCTTTGAAAACATTTCAGCTATTCACAAGCTTTTATTAAGCTGCTGCAATACCAGTCACACTAGGCAATTTAAAGTAGGGGGAAGTAAATTCTAAGCCTACGGGAATGTGCACTTTAACACTCTAACTGGAAAATACCATTGCAGGGTTTGAAACCAAGCCAAAGGGACAAAAAAACCCAAACAAGTTAATAGTGATTAATAATTCTTTTCACAGTACTTGACTAGTAATCAAGTAGCTTACTTCATTAATAAGTCCCTTAGCATACATCTGCTTGACAAAGATCTTTTAAAACTCTTCAGGGTGACCTCTGGTGGCCAAACAAACTTCTAATAATAAACTTCACCTGTTACAGACTTCTGATTGCCTTTTTGCAGTTTGTTCTTTTACTATCTTTACTAAATACAGTGAGAGTTATCTTCAAAAAATAAACTTGTATCATTAATTTGATAATGCAAAAATATTTGGTAGGGGAAAAATGATGCCTCCTGACTTGAATTCTAAGTAAAGATTGCATTTTTTATTAAAAACAAAACCAACATAAAAACCAAATGCAAAAATAACAGTATCCTCATAGGAACAAAGAAATTTAACTGACTAAGTGATCTTTGAGAATTCTTTCTATGTTCTTCACATCCTTAATTTGATTAATCTAAATAAAAACCCAAATCAACAACTAGGAGTTCCACTCAGTCATATTTCCCTAAAGATCATTACAACATGAACGCTCACAACAGACTCAAGGACTTCAATTAAAATCAAATTATGACAGTCTTTAACACTTTTCCCCATACTACAGTTCAGACATTTAAATTGCTATGGGCTTACAGGAGTCTGTCTTCATTTGTCTTTGTTCCCTGCGCAGAAGCAGCATGAGCAATAAAACCTGAGAATATGCATTTTGCCTCAATGGCATGCTTTATGACCTCACCAGCCAGCCTGCTTCTGAGCTTTGGCACTGGTTTATGCTCAATCAATACCAAATAAAACAGAGTCTGCTAAACGAGTAACACATGCCGTGAATGAAGAAAGCCTCCAATGAACTAAGTTTTCTATTTTTACCCTTTGTCACTCAAACTTTCATTCCCTTTTTCTAGCATTTGTAGTGCAAAACTTGGGGTCAGCAGGTTTACATCTGAAATGCAATAATGTAAAGAAAAAAGAAATGAGTCAAGCAAGCTCTTACCTAAATGGCAGCAGGTAGAGTGGGAATAGGCCATATGCCTTGACAGAGAAGGGAAGCTTAGGCAATTCCAGAGCGAAGCAGGAAGAGGTGCAGCAACTTGGCTAAAGAGGCAAACAGCAGGGAAAATCTCCTCCCTCTGGTGGAGGGATTCAGCTAATGAGGCCACATCCAGGGAGAGAGAAAAATATCTTTAGAGTATAGAAAGCTCCTGAATGTTTTTAAGCATGAACAGCATTGGAAGAAGTAGTTGTTCTGTTTCTACAATGCAGTTGGATTCATCAGTGTTGTACCCTTTATTTTGCACAATTCATAGAGGAATATAGAAGACTAGACAAACTAGATCATTAACCACTTACTATATGTACATCTAATTGGTTTAGGTTTGTAGAGTACCTTTTTGCACCACCTGCATCAGGTGAGACTATGATACAGTTTCTCCACTCAGGAATGTTCTCTTTAATCCACTGCAGGACTGCAGGTTCTGCATACAGGTTATCTACTGGAATGTCAAAGAAACCCTAGTCCAAAAGAGAAAGAGTTTCATAAATATGTGTTTGTATCTTACCTGGAATGAAGACAAAGGGAAAGAATCCAGCCTTTGCCTTTCATAAATGGCAGAACTTCATTGGTATTTTACACTGGTCTAATTCTGCTTTTGATATTACTGTCACATGCTGCTGAAGTCAAATAAACATTAAGGTCTTGAAAAATATCACCCAAGAGAAGTGAAAAAGGAAACAGGTGTTCCCAATTGATATAAAAATCAGGAAAGATGATCACCTTCAGGCACTCAAGTAAATTCATGCTAGTGAAAAGCTCTCAAAACATCCAGTGAATAATACTCAGCTTCCATAAATTTCAACTGCTTGACATTAACAGCAGTATTTCAACATGGGGAGGATGCAAACCAAAATGGAATCTTGGTACAAGTTGTAAAAACGAGAAATCTGGTTTAGACCTTTTTATTTATGTGACAGCCATCTAGCATAGTAAGAAATTCTGATTAAATGGAGCGCCAGAACTGAAAGATTTGGTGTTTTCTGTAAAAAATAAGTTCTCTTAAAACAAGGTACACATGAGAATGACAAATTATGTCTGCTCTGTGTCTGAGGCAAAGGTTTTGTGATTTGTTGGATTCAGCAGTAAGCCAGATAAGGGTTGCTAGGCTCCATCTCCACTTCTTTTAAGAAAATATTACACCCTTGGCTGTAACAACAAAGCTCTACCTAGGGCAATACTATAATCTCTGACAAGGCTAAGATTAAGAGAACTTGCCCCAAGCCAGTATATTTTATATTCTGGAAGCTCTTACATTAGACTTGGCAAATTCTACCACAGCTCCAATGCATAAATATTTGAAGTAACTGCAAAATCACCTCATAAAATCGAGACTGGTTTCTTTCTAAAATGGAGTTTCATTAGAAAAAGGTAGCAAGACTTTCTCTGAACCCTCACAGTTCTGTACACAGCCTTTCAAAATAATGACCAAAGCCACAGAGAATTACTATCAGCTTGTCACATTAATTCAGTAGAGCTTCTAGGACAGCAGGTAAGAACCAACCTGGATCTGAGAAGCATGCAAGTCCATGGTGATGATGTGGTCAGCCCCTGCCACTGACAGCATGTTGGCAACAAGTTTTGCAGAGATTGGTGCACGGCTCTGAGAAATAAAGCACAAACATTTACATTTAAAAAATATTTTGACTAGATGCATGGAATCAGAAGACTAGCTATTTTTCTTGGTTTTTTCCTTTTACAATATCTGGACTCCAGATATGAAAAGCTTCAGAATTTTAGTTTAAACCAGCCTGTCAATCTTGCTACTAGGGTTTTGAAACTAAGTAAAGCATTTAGGAAGATCTAAATCAGCTTGCACAGTCTGCCTAATAATGCTTTGTATTAAAGAGATAAAATTTGGGATATAGTTTTCCAATTCTTCTACTTAAAAGTTTCAGCTAACTTCACTTTTCTACTCCACAGAAACACTCCATTCTATCTTATTCTAAGAAACACTGCAAAATTCAAAGATGGAAGGTAAAATGGACCCAACTTTTGAGAACACTGCTTTAAAACAATGTTAGTATCAAGTATTTCTTCACAACACAGTAAAGCTTGTAGCAGATCCTTGTTGGCAGGGGTCTTTTACCCTGACTTTTTTTTATAAATTTCCGTTTAATTCCTGGATGCAATTAGGAGTCTAGAACTCCCAAAGGCACAGGGGAGGTTGAAGAAATCCTAAGTAGAAAGAATGAAAAGAATAAAAATCTTATTAGCAAAGTTAATGCCAATGTCAAAAGGTTTTTAAAAGCATCAAGGATGCAGAACAAACAAAAACAAAGGAACTCTGACTGGAGGATACCTCACTATTTTTTAGTTACTCCAAAGTTTTTTTCATTTTTTTAAGCTCTGTAAAAACCTGTCTTTCCCTAGACAGTTTTCTCTACACTAAACAAAACCTCCTGCTTTCTTTTGCTAATCTTTAAATAAGGCTAATAGCTGGCAATAACATTAGCATAAAGGCAGAACTGCAAGTCAGAGTTTCCATCTCAGTATCAGACTGCTTTCTGCTGGCACAGTAGTCTCTCCTGCTACATCTCTTTATCAAACAGCCTCATTTCACCTCCCAGGAACTTCCTCTCCTTCCAGCTCATACACACAATTACAGGGTACCTCTGCCTTCCTTCCATTGATGCTCAAGGGCATAAGTGACAATGAGCTGAATCACTGACAATTTAGCCTGGATGCTTTTCCATTTGTATTTTCATCATAACTGTTTTCATCAAAAGTGTTCCTAGCTTAGGTGGACATTGGGCATTTCTCTGTTTAAACCTGTAGATTGGCAACACACTTCCAGAATAGAAACTGAGATACTGCAGTCTTGTTTTATGGCCAGATCAAGTTTATCACCATCATTACTGAAATTCTTCATTTTGGAAACCATCCCTTTTGTGTGTTGTGTTTCACAGAACACCACCACCATTTTGTCAGTGTAAGACACACAGAAAGCAGATGCACCAGCCAGCACTTCCCTAGATCTCTGCAATTCAGCTGCATATCACTTCCAGAAGAGTTCATCATCGTTACTGCTTCAGCACAGTTGATTTTCCACTTACTGAGAACAACACTGCTCTTCATTTAAGTTCAGTTCTGTAAGTTGTCCAAAGCTTTCTGGATATTTTTATTATTAGTAGCAAATTTTGTTCATGCCATTTGAATTCCTGATCACTTCAGCTCATTTTAGCACCTGACACTTTTAAGCTGGACTTCAAAAATACTCTCAAATCTCTGTCAACATCTAACAAAAAAAAAAAAAATAGTATCTACTCTTTTCATTCTGTTGCAGTGTTCTCTTCCCAGCTCTTTCCAAACCTCTAGTTTAAAGCTGGACTAACAGGTAAATCTGAAATGAGAGGTTTGCTCTCCTGCTTGTACTATCCTATCTTTCCAGGCTAGACACATTCCTTCATGGGAACCTCATTCAACCTGACCTTATTATTCAGAAACTTGGATGACAAAGGTGAATGAGAACTCTGGATTTTCCTTATAACATAGTTTGTAAGGTTCCCTTCTGATGACAGAGGTAAAAACACAGATTCACAGTATTCATTGTTCAATTCTTTGATGTAATTTTAGATTATTTTCAGAATTATTAGTGTGAAATGCAGCATTAGATTATTTACAGAAACAAAATTGTTAAAAAATCACTTGAATTACCAGTGGCAGGAGGAATCCACAAAGCTAATATAAACAACACCACAAAAGTAACTGTGCAAAGGACACATAGCTGAAAGTAAAAGTTGTCCATTAAGATCAAAGCTCTGTTGCCTTTAAGCATCTTAGTACATTGTCTTGTTCAATATTCATCACATGCACACTGAACAGAAAAAAAAATAAAGAAAACCAAAGAAAGCCCAAAGATTTATAACTGGAACTTCCACTTCCAAGAAAGCCAGTTGTGAAGTGTATGGATACCGAATGTTCACTAATGCATTACCAAATTTATAATCTCAAAAATTAGAGATTTGCTTTGAAGCCTCAGAAATTGACAGCCATTATCTTGAATATCCAAATAATTTTTAAACTAGAATCTAGGGGTTTTCTTGTAGCAATTATTCCACAGGATTACTGTCATGGCCTAGGTGAAACACAACTGAAATCAAGAAGTGAAACTGAAAATGTTCCTAGTTATACATAATGTAACCCAGTGAGTTTCACCCTTTCAGGCCATATTAATGGAAATGCGTAGTGTTAGATAAAAAAAAATAAATAAATTATACCTACCCAACGCTCCACGGACCCCTTCTACAAATCAAAAAAACAAAGTTACATGAGCTGTGGAACACCAAACTCATCTGTCACTACTTCTAACTTATCTCAAAGGCATCTCTACAGCATCCTACATAAATGCTTCCTGCCCACATCTTGGAAGGTTGGCATAATTAGAGGATGCATAAATGCAGTTATAGTCAAAGCACAGAAACATCTGAGCTATTTTTAAGTTTACCTAGCTTGTGCATCAGAAATGTTCTAGTTTAGGGCAGCACTTGACTGAATCTAAATTAATTTACTGACTTTTTTATCATTCTCAGTAAGCCTTTGTTTTTGGTTTTTTTTTAATCTGTTTCTCATTTAAAGATAGTTCAGGTTTAGTGCTAAAATTTTCAGAGTAGATTAAATTGCTCAAACTAAGATTTTTACTACAAGGCCCTTTCCTTACATGAATAAATGAAGAGCACTTTCATTGTTCTCAGAAATCATAACTGCACCAGAGGTATAACAAATACATGCTTATTTTAAGCAGCAAGGACTCAGTCTATTTAGTTCATAATGAATTAAAGCCACTAACTTAAATTCAAACTAGAAAACAACATCCATGTACTGAAGATTACACTGCTTCAATTCAAAGTCAAGCAAACTACAGCAATGTCTTCCACCATAGAAGAAAATATGTGTGTGATCACAGGAAGAAAATGGCTGGCACTTTACTGACACTTCAGGCAGCACACAAAGCTCGTGCGCTCATGATGGGTCAAAGACCAAGTGATCTGATGCAAGCAGGAGGGAAGATGTCCCTGTCAATAAGCTGCCCAATGTTGACAGCTGTATTATAGCTTATTTTGCAACACAGAGGTCAACTACCAAGGCTAATTTCCAAAGATGGCAAACATTTTCTGAATTGCAAAACTGAGGGGGGAAAAAAAACCCCACAAACACCAACAGCAACAAAAAATATATGCCTACAATTGTGGAACTCAGTGACACACAGAGAACAGTCTGGGAAAAAAAAAAATCTTAAAATCTCTATTAATCAAAATCACTTTCCACAGCATTTCTGAAATACAAAATGTTCCTGGATGGCATGCACTGTGCCACCATGCTGTAGGGTTAAAACATCTCTGGAAGTCTGCCACATGAAATTTGGGTATCCTTGACACGACAATTTAGAGGCATGGAAATTTTGGAATATATTCATCCTTTTCCCACACCAAGAACTTAGAGGATGGTACAGCAGAACTTCCCAATATGAAGTAGGAAATCAAAACATAGTGAGATGCTTTCCCTTCTTAGCAACAAAATCCATATTGGTGCCCTTTCAAGGTCTTTTGGTATAAAGTACTTCATCATCCACTACAAAACACAGCAAAAATGAAGTACCAAGAGATGTAGACATAGAATAGGGCCTTTTATTTTAATTCCTGAATTCCATTTTTGAAAGTATATCAAGTAGACTTTCGTTGTAGTAGTATGCTATTACAGAGCCTGCAGTTAAAGAACTAATATACCAGAAAATAAGTTTTTTTAGTTTTGTTCTTAGATATCACAGGCTGACTATTACATATTTTATAATAACTGCCATTATTTTTAGCTTCTCCATTACTTCAGTCCTGTTAGGTTTTTAATCTGAAAGAATATCAAAATCAACAGAAGGTTTGCAGAATGGCTTGATGCCCAAAGTGAAAGAGAGGAGGCAGTCCATTTATAAAAAGTAAAGGAGAGAGACAATTTTCCAAAAACACAACCGTTACAATCCAATCTTTAAAGCCAAATTTACATTTCTTATTACTTTTTTTCAAGTGAGCTTAGGTAAAAGCACAATTCATATAACCTCTCAAAGGGTCTTTTTTTGTACATATAGTAGAGATAAAGTCCAGTTTTCTTTTTTAAAATCAGTCTCACTTCCCACACAGGGTTTGTTATTGTGTTACCAACTGGACTGTACTGATATATTCATCAGTTATGACAGACCAAATTCAGGAAAAGGGCAAGAAAATCAGTAGAGTATTTATAGGGTTTCCATACAATTTCTTGTCTTCATAAATAAAAAAAAATATTACCGATATAATTTTTTTAAAATCTGTCTGGCAGCATAAAATAATGGTTTTGGTAATTTCTGTTATGTATTGTGGATTTATCAGTTCCTTCCATTTTGCTCTGTTTAACCATCTAGGAAAAAACCTACCTACATAATTGTTACAGCACTTTGAATTCAGTATTTAATTCCATGCAATTATAATGCTTAAAAAGGTGTTCTCTCCACATTAATAGGGATTTAAAAACAAAAAAACAACTTTGAAAAAGTAGGATAAACAATCTCATAAAATGCAGTTTGCTAGCAAAGTACTCTGCAAAGACCACACACATAGAATATACCTACTTTTGCAAACTGAAGGCATGCCAATTATCAAAACACAAACAAAAAACTAATTTGTCTCGCTCCATTCCTTGTGGATAAACTAACTGAAGATTATATTAAGAGGAAAGGGGGGGGAATCAAATCTTTCAAATCACTTAAATGTTTATGAGAATTGTTAATCTCAAAAAATTTCAAGTAAGCAAAGTGAATAGAAGCCTTCCAAAATGACAATTCTTACCTACCTTGTCTTTCTTATCTTGCCTGGCATATGGAAAACATGGAATTACAGCAGTCACTCTGGAGGATGATGCAATCTTGCAAGCATTGATCATGATGAGCAGCTCCATTAAGTTGTCATTTATTTCTCCACAGCCACTCTGGATAATATACACATCTTCCCCTCTCACACTTTCACCAATCTCTACACTGAAAGAGCAGGAGATGATCATTTCAATACTTAAATTACTGGAAAGGCATTACTAAAAAATAATTTAAAAAACCAAACAGTTGTGTTTTAACAAACTACCATAGGTCTTCTGTAAACTTGCCATTTAGGGCAGGATTATTTTCACAGCGATTTCTGTAATAGCCTCCTTGACAATTTTAATATAAGCCAGTATGGTCTTAATCAGGTCAGCACCAACCAACAGCAATAAAATCTACACCATGATGTTCAAGTAAAGTGTTTTTAAAAGAAAAATCTTACAGAAAAGCTAAGGCTGCCAATCAAGAGCTTGCCACTGCTTAGCTCTCATTTTGTGCCATTTTGTGTTCTGTTTCCTCTGACTGTGCTTACGTGCTTTGGTTCCTTATGTGAGTATCTAAGTTTTTTTGTTCTTCCACAGATTTCAAGACAAATTCTGGGATCAACCACTGCTCAGACCACAGAATTCAAAAATTAAATTGAACTTAAACAGGAAAAATAAAACAAACTGTTGAATGCATAATCCTTTCTCAATTCTAGATCCAAGCAAAAGACATCTACTGCTGAACCACACTAACTTTTCACATCTGTTACTTCAAAACTTACACATAAATATAACAGAAAAACCTTATTTTTTCCCTAAATCCATGTACAATGTACACAAAACATAGACATCCTAAATAATTAAGTGATCAGACCTTGCAAATTCATGCTCTACTATGCTAGTCTCAGTTATTAAATGCTAGAATGTATTGAACTTTTACAAGGTTGTACCTTTACCCAAGACACAAATAAGCTCGAGTTTCTGATTGGAAACCATCCAAATGGCCCAGATGTGGGTAGAATAATTTCTCTAAAGGGTCCTTCAATGCTGAGGCTTGCTCTAGTCAAACACAGTCCTAACAAGTTTTGTTTATCAACTCTCAGGGTGCTATGTAAGACTCATGAGCTTTCTGCAGAAAGGAATTTACTGCTTTTAACCATCTTAATGATAAGCACACATTTGATTTATCACTATCAAGATAGTTGAGTACATGCTCTCAGCTGCCCTATTTGAGTTCTCTGCAGGCCCAAACAAACAATCCAAAGATCCTGTATTAAGTTTTCTCCTTAACTGAATACATTTTTTGCCTAAGAATGCTACTAGCAGGATTTCTTAAGGTCAAAAGAAAGCAAATCATCAAACATCAGGTCTCTGGAAGGACAGAGGTGATCAGGAACACCATTATCTGCAGATATGTTAGGAAATCTTTTGGAGGCTTTCATTATTCCACAAAGACAATTTTTAGGCACAAAATTGTTATTTTCCTCTCTAAGTTTTTGATCAATGGAATGAGGCCATTCAGAGAATTGTGCTTTGATTTAAATATTTTCTTTGTTTCCCTTTTTGAAGTTGGACAAGTTTTGGTCAACATAGCATTTTTTCAGCAAGATACGAAGTGTGATACATGATTGGAAAAAACTAGGCAGGCTTAAGTAGGAGCCCTTCTGAACACAAACCCAGCTCCATGTGAGGAACCTACTCACAAGCTTACAGATGTGGCTGCAATCATTATTATAGCTTTGTGGTTATCGTGAGCGCTTTAAAAAATTCTAATTGCACCCTGACTCAGCAGTTACACAGACCTGCTTTATAATGAATGTTGTCTCATACCACACCTTTGGAATATGCCCAAAGAAAAATTATTTTATTACTTAAGAAAAAAAAGGAACAGCTAATTTAACAGTCTAACATTACATACTAGGAAAAACATTGGCTGAGTGACAAAAGTATATGATCTTAGTGTTCACTATATACCGAAAGAACACTTGGAGCTGTTTTACTCTTTTTAAAAATTGTCACTACTATGCACATCATTAAAAATCACAGTTTTCAGAGGGTCAAGGAATATACTTTCAGATAAATATAGGTCTGGTTAATACCATGTTATTTTTCCATTGTCACTAATTGTATTTTTTTTCTTATGATTTGGGGCTACCAATAAACATCAACTTGTAAACAACTTAGAAAACAAACATCCTACTTCTTTCTCTCTTAGTGCATTTGAAAAAGATGTGTAGCCATGTTTTTAAGGCTAGAATGACATACTTACTTGTGACATAGAAATGTAAGCAGTCACATTTCCCAGCCAACAAGACAGAGCTGTACAACAGATCAGTATCTCTTATTATCTACTTTCTCAAAGACTGGGAGGTATTGTGTGGACTCAGCCAACAGATACACACAGAGCTGCCTATTTCACCTTCCCCAAGCCAGAGTAAAAGATAACCAGTCATTGTGTTGCAGATACAGCCTGTACTAACCACACTGGTGGGGGTTTGGGTGGTTTTTTTTTTTTGTTTTGGTTTGGTTTTTTTTTTTACCAGAGAGAGGGAATTGGCAATTAGGGTTGGTTTTGGTTTGTGGGGTTTTTTTTGCCCCATCCCTTTCTTTTTTTTTCATATTCAGGCAACCAATAAAAGACTATAAACTACAGAATCAGGTATTTGAATGTTCTATTTCAAATATCTATTAGACAACGCTAAGCTAACTGCAGTCAAACTCTGTGACAGTTATCTTATTAACATTGTTACTAAATTCTCCCATCTATATCATGACCTTATTAACTGTTTATGAGGTTATTTAAACAATTTCACATAGTCAGGACACAGAGGAAGGACACAAACACAAGCTCTTGCCTCAAGATTACAAGCTCTGTTTGTTTTATGCAATTTAATCAAATTCACCTATTTGGTAACAGTTTAAATAAATTTCTGTTCAAGAAGAGTCAACAGAACCTGCACATTAAAAGCCCTGACACCACACAATTGTGTTTAAAAGGGAAATTTACAAAATCAATAGCAAACAAAGGTAATTAACTCTGAGCCAGATGCTTGGCATCCAGAAGCACAAGGCTGTAGCTGGGAAAGATACACATAAAACAGGACATGATGCTTAAGTGTTGGTATCTGCCTTCAACTTGCAAAGGCTGATTTGAGTGTTCCATTTAACAAGTAGAAACTTGGACAGACTAACAACCAGTGAATTAAGGATACAGCATGAAACCCACTTAGGTTACAAACATTTCAATGGCTGAAGCATCCATTAACCAAAAATCAGAATCAGGAGTAATCACAGATTGAGACCCTTTTGAGCCAGATTTATAGTGCAGTCCCAACTGAACTTAGTGATGGGAATTACAAATTTGTATGTTCTAACTAAAAACCAAGCAGCTGTGGGAAATGGGATTAAGTATGCAGAGCCAGACTACAAAGGTAAATAATGCAAATACATAGCTACGATGTTCAAATTATACACTTAAAAGGGTCCTATGTATTTTTAAAAATAATTACAGCAGTTTAAGTTTCTAGCTATGCTTATAAAAAGTAAGATTTCTCAAGAAAATAGATGCTAAAAAGGCAGATGTGTACTTCAGGCCCTTCCAACACCAGAGAAGAGGCCAAAAATGAAGGTCTAGAGTCCTCATACGGTGTGCAAATGAATCAATATCTCAAAAGTGATCAAACAAATCCACATGCTGAGTTTGCAAGACATTGAAACCCAGCCAATGGCAAGCACTGAGCAGCAGGGTGTGTTTGACCTCTTACCTTTGGGAACACATTTCCCAGAGTAAAGTCTTTCAACCCAAGAGTTTCAACTCACTGGGCAAATATTTCATCTGATGTGATGTTACATCATAAAGTGAACACCAGCAAAGCCCAAAGCAAGAAAGAAACAATAAAAATGCCAGAGCTGGTTTTAAGGCTACAGGGATCCCATATCTCCTGGCACCCATGGTGTCCCCTCAACTCTAGGCTTTTCCACAGTTCCAAGACAACCCTCCTGCTATATCTCCATTAACAACTGCCCAGCTCTGATGCAGAGCACTGGTGTGGTAAACACCAGAAGATAGGAAATACCTTGTTACCCTCCACTCTGGCACACAGCCTGCCACAGCAAGAGGAAAACACCTTTTCTTGAGCAAGTTCTGGGTTTAACAACAAGCAGCCCAAAAACTACCCTCAAACATTTGGAAACGAATGTCTAACAAGTCTGAATGTGTGCAAAAACTCTTCAAAGGCTGAGTACCAAACTCTGCACCTCAGGACACCTGGGACTGCCAGCCATTATCCATACAAATTGGGGGTTTTGTTTGGCTTGCCTTTGTTTTATTTTTCTTGGGGGAGTGGGGTGGGGAAGGTGGTGTTGTGTTTTTTTTTTTTCTTTTTGGTTTTTTTTTCCTTGTTTTGTTTGAGTTTTTTTGGGGGGAGGGAGGTTGTTTTTAAATTTCAAGTTTTAGCATCTACACAAAGACAAAAGTGTACCACATACGGCAAGGCCAAATAAGTGAAAGTCTCAAACCAAAAGCTTTAAAGTATTTGGGTCCTTTTCCAATTCAGAGAAATGAACAGTGCAATAAATGGCCATATTTGCTGCATCTTCAATTCCCTATACAAACAAAACACTGTTATGGCTTTAACACATACAGTGTGCAGTCCAGAAACAATTTTTACGTTCTCCAACCAAGCTGGTAAAATCTATTTCTCCAGCTTCCTCTAGCTCATGACAGTGTAAGCAAGCTGGGAGAGAGGGAAACAGCTGTCCCCTCTGAGAGAGGCAGACCACCACCAGCCCAGCTGGGAATCACTTGTTGGGCACTATGAGGAAACACTTCACATCCCCATATGTCCCTAGTCCTTCCTGTCTTCAGCTGTCCTAACACCAGTTTGTGACCAGAGCTTGCTCATTCCATGGGCAGGGATCTGCAAACACCAAAGCATCCCCTCAGGGAGGGTGATACAGCTCACGGCTCCACACCAGCTGAACACAAAGGAACCAGGTTACACGAGATGCAGTGGAGTTATGGCTCATCTGAGACAACTGCAGTGCAAGGATGCTGATGGGGGATTAAGAAGGAAGTCTTAAAGCCAGGTGACAAATTGTAAATCCCTAGGACATAAGTTTCCAGGTTTGCTCTTTTTTCAGTTACTTTCTTCATGGAACAAAGTGATTTCATTTTTC